TTTTTTAAGTGTTATTCATACATTGAAAACCGATATTTTCTACTAAAAAACCGGTTTTCGAATTTCATAATTTTCTAAAAAACACCCGGTTTTTAAAAACCGATAAACCCTAGTTGTAGGTGAATGATGAGGATATCGTGGATAGAGAAGATATCAATGAGGATGTATTGGAAGGAGTAGGACAACAGAGATCACCATGGGAGTCAATTATAAATAGGCATGATAGATTGGTAGACATCTTCACATACATGAAGGGCTAGTTAGATATATTACAAGCAAAAATAGGAGTTAAGAGGAGTAGAGGTAGACCTACATTAGGTTGCTGTTCACAAATAGTCAAGGATGTGGGACTAGCTCAGGATAAGAAAAAGTGAAGGCGCGTGTCCAACCAGTCTTAGGACTGAAGACCTTACGGTGATTATCAATATTATCCGAAAAAACGTAACATAAAAAAATCGGGAACTTCTAAACTATATTGTAAAAATTGTGAAATTGCTTAAACGGGACAGCTAGATTGAAGCGTTGTTATAATAATACATGAACATAAAGGAAGTTAAAATATATAGAAAACCTATTTTAACGTACTACTTTTATCACTTAATTGTGTAAAAGTGTGCTTGTATTATGGGACTATTACACACCGCACTAAAAAGTTTTAAGTTAAACCTATAAGATCCACTAGAAATTAACGGTTTAATAATTAACATATTATTAATTGCTAAACTGATGTCATTTTCATCACTTGTCGTGCATCTTATTATCAACCACCCTCATATCACCGTTACATAATTGTTGTATATTAAAATTGTAAAAAATTATCCAAATAAGTAACATTGAATTTTATATATAGGTATGTAGCAAAAGTTCATTTAGCAGGTTCTTCGTTTATACCCAATAGCATGATAATAGTAATAATAAGCAAAGTTTATGGAATACAGTGTTTAGAATTGAAATAATTGAATAACAGAAACTACGAATTTTAGGTGATGTTTTAACGTAACTTTTAGAATGGTGTAAAGGACAGGTTCTGCCCACTAATTTAGGATTTCTCATTTTAGTTCTCGTAAAACGTCAAATTTCGTTTAGCTTGACATAATTCGAAACGAGGTATCTTCTGAGATAGATAAAGTAACAAATTTTACCAGAGGATACAAGTATTGGATGATTTATGTGAATTTCTTGCAAAGTAATACTTATATGTTGCTGATTTTGTCGATCTTTATTTATGACTCTTATAGATTCTTATATATTAAAGACGTAATAGTTCCGAAAGGCGCAACTTGGATTCCCTTTTATTGGAACCCACACTTAGCCTTATTAGTTATTTACTAATGTAAGTAGGGGTTAAATAAATGGAAGTGTCTATTACTTAATTGTATATGTAGATCCTGTAACCCTTTTTGCGATCCCTATTAGGGTATAACGCGTTGGAAACCACTGATTAAAGGACCTACTCAAAACGGACAACATTCCAAATAGAATAAAATAATTCGAAGTGGTCTATATTCTGTCGAAACTGCCAGACCAGGATCGCGATTCCGATCTGTTCGGATCTCATCAGCGCGTCGCAGACAGCACCGACAGAACACAGACCAACTTTTACCTGCTGTCTTAAGAGTGCGTTTTAGAAAATACCACAAATGGCGCGGTAAACGCCATTTGTAGTACGATGCTACATTTTAGGATTACGTATGCTCCAACAAGGTCCATTTAAATATATGGATATCTGCTTGCTGAAACGAATCCCGGTGTAGCCAACTTCAACGTGATAGGCAGGTTACCATAATCGAATAAAATAATTCGAAGTGGTCTGTATTCTGTCGAAACTGCGAGACGCGGATCGCAATTTCGATCTAGCTGGATCTCATTAGCGCGTCGAAGACAGCTCCGACACAACAGAGACCAACTTTTACCTGCTGTCTTAACAGCGCGTTTTAGAAAATACCACAAATGGGGCGATAAACGCCATCTGTAGTACGATGCTACATTTTAGGATTACGTATGCTCCAACAACGCCCATTTAAATATATATGGATATCTACTTGCTGAAACGGTCATCTATCTAAATAGAAGTTTATTTGAGGGGTGTACTTACCTTATATACATCTAATTGTCCGCAAAATACATCAAATTGATTGTACAAGTTTTGTAGCATATTTATTACCATCATGGGTGTAGCCGTTGAGCATATTGACGTAAAGCCAACAATATCACTGAACAACATTGTCACATCTTCGTGAGTCTTTGCTTCTATAGTTTCTCCTGAAATTGACACCAGAAACATTTCAAAATTCACTAAATTTAAGTTGAATATAGATACCTATTATCATAAATGCATAAAATAAGCCGGTGTTTTAGCAGTTTTGAGCTGTTGAGGCAGAAATAGGGTGCCACTTTCTTTTTATATAAACAAAAGGGGTTGGTTATTAAAGGTAGAAAAAAGTACATTTACTTTACTGTACCATGTTTTGAGCTGTTGAGGCAGAAATAGGGTGCCACTTTCTTTTTATATAAACAAAAGGGGTTGATTATTAAAGGTAGAAAAAAGTACATTTACTTTACTGTACCATGTTTTTTAAAAACCTATTTTTCATGATTTTTAGCAATTTAACCAACAAATAATTATCACTTCTAAACAATTGCATATCATCTTTACAGTCTAGATTTAAGTTAAAGTTAAGTTAAATCTCAGAGAAATCAAATCATGTATTTTAGAAATTTGGAGAAAGTTGTTAAAGATGTATGTTTGGAGTGCGGCGCTGCATGGGTGCTAAACATGGACGGTGGATGCTGCGGAAAAGAAAAGGTTAGAAGCGTTCGAAATGTGGTGTTACTGGCGAATGATGAGGATACCGTGGATAGAAAAGGTTAGTAGAACACCTTCTCAGGCATGAAGGTTTAGTTAGGGACGTATTAGAGGCAGAAACGGGAGGTAGGAGGGGTAGAGGTAGACCTAGATTATATTACTGTTCGCAGATGTTTGTTGTTGTAGTTTTAGGGAAATGCGAAGATTAGCTCAGAATAGGAATAGGAATTAGGATTGACGACCTTGTGATGATGAAAGTGTAGAGTACAATTACCCTAAATAATGTACAACACTTTGTAATAAAGTACGGGTGGCAGCCCTAGGCAGGGAGTACATTTTTGAAAAATATATAAGGTATTTCTTTGCTTAAAAACTTATAAAACGGACTTTTTTTTGAAGAAGTACATATTTTAATGACATTTGTTTATTATCAGGCAATTGGTTTAAAAACTTAATCAAACGTTTATTGTCAACATTTACGATTATTCAAGTGTAACGATCTATAAAATGCCTTTGCAGCACGAAATTTGTTTTCAGAAATGCAATGCGTTGAACTTGTAATGTTTGGTAAACACACTATTAATTCTGACTCAACAGTTGAGATAATTAAGAAAAAATTACTCTAAATCGGTAGAGCATTTTCGAAAATCTATTTTCAGACTGTTCAAAAACACGTTTATTTTGTTTTCAATTTTATACCTAATTAGAATGTGACAGCTAATTTCGATTGAGATTTCGTCAAAAGTACATTGAAAGCTGCCTGTCCATTTCAGAGTTAATTACATCTTAACATCAGAAAAGTGGTGAAATCGTTGCCATTTATCTAATTTTCCTTAAAGCTTAGCTATTAATGATTAATAACCGATATCCAGCCGATGTTAATGATGGTCGTCATTAGATATTGAACAGGACAATTACGTTAGCTACATCGTAGAAATAATTAATCTTGCCAACCAGTCATCAGATCACATATGGATAACATCACAGTTCGCTGGTCAGTTGAGTGGTTATTTCGTAGGCCTCGTATTTTTTGTTCAAGTCGTAAGATACTTCGGAAAGATAACGACTACTGCTACATTTCCCTCAAAAGTATCAGATCGTATAAAACGATGAAAATAAAGGGATGTTTGAACGAACTGAGTCAACAAAAGAAATAATTGCGGAAAACTGAACAAATACTAAAAGCTTTCAACAGCTAATGTTTAAGCACAAAAATTTTTTGTCTAATATACATTTTGTCACGCATATCTTTCGTTTAAGCCCAGACTTGGACAAATTAGTGCAGAATTTTGAGGGATTTTCACCGTAGAGAAACATTTCACTGTAAACAATACGTACTAATAAATTAGACCAAAAGGTAAATCCGTATGAACGTAAAGAATCTAGTAATAATTTTGCTTGGAAATAAGGTCTTCAGTCCTAAGACTGGTTGGACACGTACCTCCACTCTTTCCTATCCTGAGCTAATCTTCGCATTTCCCTAAAACTAGAACAGCCCACATCCTTAACTATTTGCGAACAGTAATCTAATCTAGGTCTACCTCTACCCCTCCTAACTCCTGTTTCTGCCTCTAATATGTCTCTGACTAGACCTTCATGCCTGAGAAGGTGTCCTACCAACCTATCTCGCCTATTTTTTATTGACTTCCATAGAGTCCTCTGTTCTCCTATTCTTTCTAATACCTCTTCATTTCTAACCTTTTCTACCCACGTTATCCTCATCATTCGCTTATAACACCACATTTTGAAAGCTTCTAACCTTTTCTTTTCCGCCGCGCCCACTGTCCATGTTTTGCACCCGTACAACGCCGTGCTCCACACATACCCCTTTAACAACCTTTTTCGAATTTCTAAATTAACCGTTCGCGAGAATAGAAGTGATTTCTTTTTATTAAAGGCGACTCGACTCTACGTTATCGTTTGCTTTATATCTCTACTGCTCCTTCCGTCCTGACTTATCTGACTTCCTAGGTACCTAAAATCGACCACTTCTTCTAATTTTGCATTTCCTATAATTATATTAGCTCTTTCCTTACTTTTTCTTCCCTTATATACCAGTATTTTTGTTTTACTTTTATTTATTTTTTTAGAGTACTATTTTGACAGGACCGCATCCACTTTATTTAAAGCTATCTCTGGGTTCTCCTTGCTAGATGGTAATAGTGCTATATCATCTACAAATCTAAGCATACTAATTTTTTGCCCCTGTATATCTATCCCTACAGTTGTACTGTCTTTAATGAAGTTGATCGCGTCTTCGATGTATATATTAAAAAGTAGCGGTGACAGTGTGCAATCCCTGTCTGACTCCCTTCCTAATATTTACTTCTCTACGTTGCATCCCCAGCTCTATAACTGCCTGTTGCTCTTTATACAAACTAAGTATCACTCTTCTATCTTTGTAATTCATCCCTACATTTTTAAGTATATTTAACATCTTGTCCCATTTAACATTGTCAAAAGCTTTCTCTAAATCTACAAA